CTGACATGCATTAATAGACAAATTCAATTATTTTTCAGTGTGACTTCCTTATTTTGATAAGAATCGTAATCAGTACAAATAATGACAAATAACACAACTACTAAAACATAAAACGTTTAGCTCTAGTAATGAGTGGTGTTATTCCAACTTACGATAAACAATGTTGACCTTATACAGAACTGGTTTCATCCAACTAACATCTTCAGAGCCTATTTTTCAACATTAATTTATCTAATATCCTCCCGTATAGAATTTGGTCTCTTAGGCAGTCTGGTCTCATGAAATTTTTTTAACAAAATTTAGTACGCTCATATATATCCTTAGAGGTGCTTCATAAGGTTAATTCGAAAATGCCAATCACATTGCTTGTGTTCGAATCCCACTCGAGGCGAGGATGTATGTCTTTCTGTGTTGTGCAGGCCACACGACAGGTTGATCCTCCGTCCAGAAAAGTGTTCAGTAATTGTTTTAAAGGCTCATTAGTGAGCAATAGAGTCTATGTATATGTAAAGCTGTCCCTGGTGTTTAAATAAGCACCACGCCATTCAGACGTGGAGGTGGGGACGGAAGAAAAACTCCACGCATTCTTAACTTCGGTACTGGAAGAAGGTGAGTGGTTAGCTTCAAGCCCCGAGGAAAGAACACTGAAAGTTGTTCGAAACATTACAAAGAAGTAATATGAAAATTATATAATTAGGGTACGTAATATAAAATTAATTGTAAGTATTCATTTTAAAATTATTTATTAATGTCGCTTAAAATGTAAAATAATTAATTTAACCCTAGCAACATCAGACAAGACAGAGAAACTGAAAGGCTCACATATATTTTCATGCTTTATATCAAAATAATATCCCCGCAAATTATGGAAGAAAGACCTTGAAGTTTCTACAGATTTCTTAAAAGACATCTAGTTTTGACTTAAGGACCATAAAAGTGACATCCAATTTTTCAAAGGGGCTCTGCGTGTCGGACACGTGTTTCACAGGATTGTATTAAAAGGAATCGTCCGAATTTATAATGAAAAACTTTTTGTTTCTTGAACGAAGATCGACCAAAGACGTAAAATGGATATTGAAGCTGTAGTTCGGAGTTTCGCAGCCTGGTCGCTTTGATACAAAGGCTTCAAACTACACTTGACTGGTCCTCGTAATAATGGAACACTTTGAATCCAAGTATTATCAAAGACGAGGAAAATGAGCTAAGACAAAACGAAGAAAACTGGCAACTATGAGATTGATGGCTCCAGCAAGGGGAGGCTGCAGAAACAGGCGGACCCAGAACCAACTACACAGGGCGTATAGAAACAAAGTTCCTATTGGAAGAAAACTACTCTTTTTGTGTACAACTATCTTAATTTGAAACCAGAAACGTCCGGAAAATCTGTTTCCAGCATTCTTATAAGTATCATATATCATAACATATTCATGGCTTTCCTCAGGGATGATGCAAGTATAGAACCTGGAAGAGACCAAAATCGATTATTTACAAATAACTGCGAATTTATCATTCGCTATCGTCTTATTTGAGAAGCTAATAGTTGCACAGCTTCGTAAGAAATTTCCTGTTTTATGGAATCGAAGCTTCACAAGAGAACAATGCGTATCTTATCCTGGGTATGAATCCAGTCCACGCAATCACATCTTATTTCTTTTAAGATAAATTTTAAAGTTATGATCCAGTGTTCACCCAAGTGGTATTTTCCATTCGGACATGCAGACAATTATGTCGTACGCATCACCTCTGTACGTGCTACATGTCCCTCCTATCTTATTCACCTTATTTGAGCAACATAATATTATTTGGAAAAGAATTCAGAATATGAAGCTCCTCATTGTGCAATTTTCTTAACCTTTAACTTACTCTCCTATAGTTCCAAACATTCTCTTCAGTAATCTGTTTTCATACATCCTCAATTCATGTTCTTCCCTTCAGGTGAGAGGTCAAGTTTCGTAAACCTACACAATAACAGGCAAAATTATAGCATTCTATGTTTTCCGAACTAGATATGCCACAAAATAACTGAAGAAACTGCTAGTATTCGCCTTCAAACCGCAATGTTACGTTTAAGGATAGCATGTATAACACGACTCTGATTTATAACCTAAATCGATCCGAAAAGTCGAAAGGAATATGTGGGACACCCGGTATGGTACAGACAGAGGAACAAACAGAAGATATAGATACTCACTCGGGATTAAACCTACTTATCCACGCTTCGCAACACATTCAATTTACCAGAGAACTCAACTCCGCTGCGTTGCTGGGGAAACATTAGCAGCCCATAGCGGTCCTCCATTGCTGCCAACATCGGCTCCCGAAACACTTGTTACGTCATTATGTCCCCCAACCGGATAATATTTTGCAAAATATGACCTGAATTATTTGCATTGAGGGCGTAGCTATGAGAACAAGGTCTGAGGACAATATTTTGATCTCAGAAAGATTAATTAACAGGATGATAGAAAAAATTATATTGTATTTTGTATTGGTACTTTAAATTTAAGGGGAATGAAATGGTCGAGATTTATGGCATGGACAGGTGAAACAACGACAAAAAAAATATAGTCTGAAACCCCTACAAGAGAGGGAGGAATTAATCAAAGATGGGAGAATTTTTTTAAAAATGAATCTCAGGACAACAGAGTTTGAAAGTTAAGGTTTCGTGTTCTGAGCACGTGAAACAGGCTGAAAGATATCAGACGTACAGGTGGTCAAACGACGCTACCTAGACTACCGTAGAGAAAGGCAAACACTGGCCAATTACAGAGTCTGGACCAACACGGTGATGAGTTAACATTGAGAGAACAGGATAAACACATTACAGTAGTCAGACAAACATTTGAACCCCACAACCTGCAGTCACTCTAGCTGATGGTAGAAGTCTCCGGCCCTCAACCTCACCGACTGACAGTCCCCAAGAGATTAACAGAACGTCGAGAAGATTTTGGACTACAAACTAAAGGATATAAATAATGTATAAATACAAATGCATTCTATAATAAAAATTCCTATAAGAACAGCACGATGGAAGGAAATAAGTAAGATTGGCTGAAAAAAGTAACATCATAAAACACTTGAATAAATAAGTGTCATAAAACAAAGACAAAGAGAATAATAACGAAGCGCGGGACAGGAGGGTGTGTATGTGTGTTTATAGGCGGCGTTCGCCTCTTGAGGGAAGACGTCATAAAATGCAAGTCAAAGTGGCTTTACTGTCTACAACTATATTGCTTTGCGTCATAAAGTGATCTGTATGTGCAGGCAAAGGGGGGATTGATTGGGGGTGAATGGGACAGCAAACGTCTCTTTTATGGCGGCATGAAAACACTAAAAATGTGAGAGATTCATAAAATATTACAAATAAAATAGAAATTTGTTTGATGCAAAAACCAGGGAAGCAACTGGAATCACGAGCGATTCTTTTAAATTATAACTCCAAGAAGATAGCTATAAACTGGGAAATACTGTCCAGATCATTGAGTCATGCAATATTACAACTGCAACTCTGTCGTTATTATTATTATTATCCCATCTCTTCCCCACTTTATGGGGTATGTACTTCTATGTACCCGAGACAGACCTTGTCCCTAAGGTACATAGGGCAGCAGCTATTTCCGGGATACATTTTGTTTTTAATATGTATTACATGTATTATATTATTTTATTATACGACAGCGTCTTTCGAATGATGTATGAAGTTCCCAAAATGGCAGTTTTCTGAAGTTCCCTGACGTCGTGTTCGCCCGGAATGTTGGCCAAATATTTCCTGAGCGACCTGGAGACAGTTCCTGTTGCCCCTATAACTACTGGAATTATTTTTGCTTGAACCTTCCACATTCTCTGTATTTCTATGAGAAGGTCCTTGTATTTCATTATTATTATCATAATTATTATTGTTGTTTTTGTAGTCGCCGATTGAGAATGCTTGTGTCACTCTATGGCGCAGGAAATTCTTTGAAAAATCGATTTATATTCGGTTTGTCAAAGAATAGCTCGCTTTCTTCATGGAACCAGAAGGTTCATAACCGTGTTCACAAAAGCCTGCCACCGGGCTCTACACTGAGATAGCTACATTCAGTTCGCTCCATCGATTCCTGTCTCCCCAATGTCCATCTCAACGTTGTCCTCCCAACTACGCCTAGGTCTTCCCAGTGGCCTCCTCCCTTCAGGCCCTGATTCTTTATAAGATGCCTGTATATTTTGATAAAGAATATTAAATATCAAAGCGACTAGTGAAAGTATAAAATCTTATGCACCTTATCTTGAAATTGAATTTTAACATTTTATTCATTTCGTTTAGATTTAATGCCATTTTTCTGTACTTATATGTTTCTCTATTGAGTTAATCCCATCCTGAAGTTCGTCTGTTTCTATAAGTTTTCATATTCTAGCCTTGAAATAATGGACATCTGTCTGAATTTCTTTCCTGAAGCGCTCTTTTAGTGATGTCCACAGATGGAAATCGCAAGTGACAAATATATTAAAGCAAATAAAAATAAATAACCCACCCCAGGTTCACGCAATATACTCAAACTACCGTATCGTCTGTCAGGAGACCCAGTGGCCTCTTCCTTAAAGTTCGTTTCATAAGGTACCGCGTTAATTTGGAAGTTCGTCTCTTCCACGGTCTGATGGAGTATGTCTTCTGTATCTCATCTCCTGTTTGCTCCTTGTTTCTGAGCTAAACAGAAGCAGGCATGGCGAAACAATGTTCTTTGTTTCATGTTCTGATTTTTCTCGAACGTCTTTTTTCTTGCCTTCCTTTCTCATCTTCTTCCTCATTTTCTCCCTCTTGTTCGTCTCTTTTTCTCCTACATCATCACTTCTGTGCCCTTGCTTATCTTATTCAACTCCAGTGACGTGCGTGACATTTCAGGGACCGAATTACGTTTGTGCACGATGGCGCATGCGCAACAACCAACATACTGTTTTCGTAGTGGTAGGATAATTTATTACGACTGGGTACTAAAATTAATAATTACCCTCTCCACCGACAGGTTACGCTGCATGACCCACGTCTGCTGGATCCTACTAGTCGTCTGCGCGATCTAGCGACGCCACGAAGAACTATCATGCCTCAAACTCTTCTTCAGGAAGGAACTTTCGGGAGGGTATATAGAGGCGAATACATTGACGAAGAGACGGAAACACACACCGACGTGCTCATCAAAACGGTGTCAGGTGAGCGGGATGGCCCCCATACGATGTATCTGAACAAAATATCCATAAATGACAAATGCGGCAGCCGATCCCCTTTTGCTTTTTTGTTTTATTTTTCTGAGGAAGGCTATGTACAGTATCTGGACTTCGCATTTCCCAGCAGTGCGACGTAGAGACGCAGCCTGCACTGTGAACAAATCTTGTTAGACGCGTAGGCACTGCATTATAACTACAGAAAGTGGTCGTGCAAGATACGAACCGTGGCTGTCCATGTTGCAGACCAAGCCTCCAAGCTACAGGTGACGCTCATGCTGGCAGAAGGTACCATGCTGCATGGACTGTCGCACAAGAACGTTCTGTCTGTCCTGGCCGCCAGCGTGGACAACCTAAAGCAGCCCCTTCTTGTATACCCGTACTCCAATAAAGGCAACCTGAAAAGGTAAGACCAGTGTGGTTCAGACTACCAACAGTCAAAATGTCCATTTCCCTTCGTCTTTTCTACACTGGTTTGTAATGCGAATACGTTTATTTGGAAAGGTGTGCTCCAGCACTCCACTGGAGTAGGCATTTCAAACGCGACCATTTCCTCTGACCTTGACAGATTCGTACAGTGTCATCAAAATACAGGCAACTCTCGATTTACGAACATTCGCTATAACGAAGGTCACAATTCATTCAAAATTTCTTAAGTCGCCAATAGATAGAGTTCCTTATAAAACTAAATGCCAAACATATAGTGAACATAATTGTGAGATTTAAATAAATAAACTTTTAAAAATGTATTTATTATAATAATTATGAGAAAATTATTATATGATAATTAGTACATGGTTTTAATGCTTTAAAATGGCTGCTAACGCATATGATACGTATCGTAAAACCTGAGGAATGCAAGATACACATAACGAACAACGTCTTGGAACGGAACTCGTTCGTAAACCGAGAGTTGCCTGAATACTAACCAACGAAGAATTCGGTAGGGACTCTTGACTCTTACTACAGCGTTGGTGATGAGATCCAATGAAATCTCACAGAGAGCGATGTTGTTTCAGGTTCTTGCACAACTGCCACCAGAGAGGAGAAGAGCAATACACGCTGCTCACGCAAGACATCGTGGACATGGCGATACAGGTGGTGATAGCCATGTTGTTTTTGCACAGCCAACGAATTTGCCACAAAGATCTGGCCACGCGCAACTGCGTGTAAGTCTGACGCGTTATGATCGAAATTGAAAATTAAAAGTATCGATGAATTTTTTTAAATGTGTACGCTTAACGTACTATCTCTGTCAACATTTGATTATGAAACAATTATCCTCCCATGCATCAGTTTACAGGTGCGAAGCTAATTTCGTCCTTCCGCCTACAATTTCCCCTTTTTTCTTTCTTTCTTTTATTTTCCTTTTACCACATGGTTTCATTTATTTTCTTTGTCTCTCTATCTCCCCTTTCTTTCACTGTTTCCTTTTTTATTATTTTATCTCTTGCCTTTTCTTCTTTCTTTCTTTCTTTCTTTCTTACTTTCTTACTTTCTCCACATCTACTTCCTTTTCTTTCAGTTTGTATACATAAATATAGATTTCTTTTTCTTTGCTTTATCTTTATTTTATTTTCCATTTTCCTTCTCCCATCCTTTTTCTGGCTGTCTTTCTTTCTCCATTTTTTCATTCTCTACTTTTTCGTTTGACTCATAGATCTATGTACTAGTCTTTTCTATTACATTTATTAACTTTAAAACTGAAGCTTCCTTCCTCACTGCAAACAAAGTTTGCAGTTGGTTTTGAACCCCACCTGTTTGCTTTATATTTTTCTATGCAATGATGATGCAAAATCTCATCCCTCATGGTAAGTGTCCTCTGATGTTATTTGCAGTAATGGATTATCTGTCAGACCTCAACAAACGCACCAGGTTTTGATTTTGAGGGGTTGTAGGATGGTTTTTGTAGATGTGTTTGGGGAGAAACAGCTTAGTGTTGTAATCCATAAAAAACCTCCTGCATAGAGCTCTGAAAATGCATTAACAGCAGGGAGGTTTATAGCATGTAAATAAGAAAACATCACTTTCCACCCCAAAGGCTTTTATGTAAGTGGGGTGGAAGAGGTCACACACAACAATAATAATAAACAAATATTAAAAGCCTTCACCGTTGGAGTTTTCCATATGGGGTTCTGAAGGATTAAATTTTACAGGATTTAATAGCACTACTGTAATTTGATCATTCGTGATTGTTATTTTACAATACAAAATTGTGTACGTGAGGATTTAGATGGAGGTCATGTCCTACTTTAAGGTACCCCCCAACATTCCAGCATTTGCCTGAAGGGGCTAACTTAAATCACTAAAAACTCGAATAAGATAGTTGGTTCCTTGGGTGAGAATCAAACCAATAAAATACTGGAAACGAGTTAGTTATCCTTCTAACATTCTTGATGAAAGCCATTTTCCATTTACTTTGTAATGCATCAAACAATAATCTGGCATGTAACAGCCTGCGATAGTCTACATATTTATATGTAGTTTTATATTTATATGATATGTAAACATATAAATGCTTAAATGGAAATTTCCTTTACTGAGAATAAATGTGTTTCAGGGTGGATGAGAAGCTGAGGGTACGTGTAACAGACAACGCCCTGTCACGGGACTTGTTTCCTGCAGATTACTATTGCTTGGGTGACAACGAGAACCGACCCATCAAGTGGCTGGCCACAGAGAGCCTCCTTCACAAGCAATTCACAGGCGCCTCAGACGTTGTGAGTATTGCATAGAAACAATACAACGTACTTTGTTATCCGGCTACGTCGTGAAGTTACATAAACAGTAGAGCAGGAAAATCTGTGTCAGGAAGATTTAAATTAAAGAAGGAGATTTTCACTCTAAACCACATTCAAAGATAGATTACTGGGTGTAAACGCATTCAAGGATGTGCACATGACAAGATTAAAGTCTCATTTACAGTAGCTGTCACATGCATTACTGCATATGTTAATATATAGTCATCTAACTAAATAGAAAAGACACAAGCGACAGCTCAAATGGTTGCCATGGAAGTTTTGTAACAGAAGGAGTTCTTACAGACAAAAATTGGCACGTGAATGGATAAAACACATATTGTTTTGCAGATGATCTCCACATTATTAATGTGAAATTTATTGGTTATATTTGGCCCAAAAGCTGCTGGGGATCTAAAAATTCGTTTCAGTAATACAGAAAATTTTGAAATTCTTGCAGTGGTCTTTTGGAGTTCTGCTGTGGGAACTGACAACACTGGCACAGCAGCCATATGTGGAAGTGGACCCCTTTGAGATGGCAGCCTATCTGCGAGATGGGTATCGTCTCTCACAGCCAATCAACTGCCCTGACGAACTGTAAGTAACGCAGAATTTTCAACTGTTTTTCTATTTTCATAGAGCAGGCATGTTTTCTATTATATCGTCTAAGTCTCCTGTAATTGGAAAGCTTCTGTCTATTGGAGGCAAATAATTACAAAAACAAACTTCCCTATAATGGCATGAAGAAAGGACAACATGACAACAATTATACTTGGTTACAGCAGTAAATGGATTATCTGTGTTATATTATAAAAATCTTAGCTTCAAAATGATCTGCAATGAACTCATGTTTCTTCAGGCATGAGAAAATCTGTCACCAAGTATACACAGTTATGAAAGTGCATGGGCTTACAAATAACCTCTTTCTCTAGGTTTGCACTGATGGCATGCTGCTGGCTTGGAGTGCCTGAGGAAAGGCCCACATTTGTCCAGCTTTTGGCCTGCCTACAGGAGTTTTACACGGCCCTCGGCTGCTACATATAAAGCCGCGTGTAATGAAGAACCTGATGCACAGTTCACCAGTCACTAACAACTATGGGTTTACCGTGTAAGAATGGTGACCCACCTCATACTCACAATTTAGGCTTTCCAAACATTGCTCTATACCAGTTCTATACTCTGAATCTGTTCAGAGTATAGAAATGGATAGAAGACAACTGTACACCCTGTTTCTAGTTCATACCTTGAGATTTTACATAGCAAAAGTCTGTCTGCATGTCTGTGCAGCTGTATGTTACAACAGTTGATTAACTGTCCTGCTTCATAAACCAGGAGGACTAGTAGTATCTTTTACAGTACAAATAATAGTCTAAGATCTCTTACAATCGAGGCTAAACATTTATAGCATAAAATTATTTATTTATTAAACAAAATTTAAATAATATGCTGGATCATAGACATTTTGTGACCTACAAGCTTGTAATAATAAATGTTTTGTATTAAACTGAAAACAAAATCACCCAATATATTAGTGTAGACTTTAATAATTCATTTGGGAAATATTATTTTTGAGATTATACAGACAGACATACAGAGAGGCTGGCTGACAGTATATCCCTATTATTATTTAAAAGTATGCACTTCATGTAAGTGCATAAAACACCGAAAGTAAAATTCATTTTCAGATTTAAGTAAGTTACTGAAGCTTCCTGAAAATTGTAACACTGGTTCTCAATTTTAATTATGCCATATGCTTCTTCCTTAAGAAGAGTGAATTCCAGAAATCCTTTCTCTTGTATCCCTTTCTATCATTTTAGATAAACATTTAATCTGTGACATTTCTGATGCAGCTAAATCTATGTACAATGTTGGATGACAATTACAAATCATTTCTGTTTTAAAACAGAGAAACCCGATTATACAAGACTCTCAATAACAGAATTTGAACTTCCTATAAAAGTAGCATTGAATAAAAAGGACAACACTACATGTCGTACATGGTTTATTGTTGTGAATTATCTTAAAAGTCAGGTAAAGAACCTGCTGTTATTAAATGTTTTCAGTGAAGATTCTAAAACTTTTATGTGGTCACTCCCCTGATGCGCTACGCTTCATCAGGTCTTAAAGTAAAGCAAGATGATTCACTATAAAATTTGGCTGCATTTCTTAACTCATTATAACATTCTAGTGATATCTTGTTATAATTTTAAAACTGTCACAGTGGGAATTCCCCTTGTTGTATATGTGGTGTCCCCTTTTGTACATGTGGTGCTGAGGTGCTAAGTGTTTGTGAGAGGGTGCATAACGAACCAAGGGCCTCAAGTCTGCACCACAAACTCATATGCTCTGAGAATTAATGCGTTTTATAACTCAGAAAACTACATAAACACCAATCAACATGACAAAGAGATTCTATAAACAAAAAAGTGTGATTTATATATTTAAAAATTTTTACCAAAGAGTAGTTCATATTGCAACATTTTCATGTAGAGAAATATTTTATACACAGACAGAATATAAAATAAGTGAAAAACAAAATTTAGGTGCTCATATCAAAATATTTATAGTTTTATTATTATTTAATTATAAATGTAGAGATAAGTCCACATTAAAAATCTTTGAATTTGGAATCATACAAGATGGTGGGTGTGTAAGAATTCATTGTGTAGAGTGAGACAGCTATAAGGATGCAATGTTTAGAGTTGCTTCCACTTTTTATGAATGGTAATGCTGAGAATATTACACACGATTGATTACCATTAAAAGTTTTGAACTATACTGCTGAGCATTTATTTCAGTATCAATGTCTTAAGTCAAACATCACATGCATCAACAGTAGCAACTTAGCACACTTGTTAGAGGAAGTGCGGAAATGTACAGAACAATGGTACCAGACTGGCTCTGGTTGGTTGCTCTCACCACACAATAATCAATGCTACAGCATAACTATCACCTGCTAACTTGAATGATTTTTCGTTACCAACACTCACGAGTCTTAAAAGAAGATGGTTCCTTCCTTGTGACACTATGTGAACCTGTCCATTTCCTGTCTCAGTTACAAATATGTACTTAAGCAGTTTTTTGTGAAATTGGATACAAATATATTGTTGTACTCCCTCCATCTTGGTATTATTAATTTAATTTATGTTTTTCAGCAATAAATTACAGTCATTGCATTCACTTTTCAAATTGTGCAGAGGCACAGAATGTTCTGTTTCTCAGATCCCACATGATTATTTGATATCACATGATGTTCATGTATTGCATATGTAAATCTGTTATCACAAGCTGATTACGCTGCAGTCATCATAGTTTACAGTGAACAATTATTCCTTATATTTTGTTATACTGAAAAATGTGTGAAATAAAAAGTACTGAAGTCTTTCTTATAAGCCAATATAACTCAGGCAGTATAGCGCTTAGTTATAAGTTAAGAGTTCTATTCCAGACAGGGACACAAAACTTTCTCGTGTGCAGACCTACTCTGGGGCGAACCCAACTGCTCTCCACTGACTCTTTCACTGTAGCTGAAGAGATAAACTGCCAGTCATAGTGGTCATGTGATCTGAGGCATGGGCCTGGTGCACTTGGACTATGGGTTTGAATCCCACTCAAGGCTTGGATGTTTGTCCGCGTCTTTCTGTGTTGTGCTGTCCTGTGTACAAGTAGAGGCCTCGCGACAGACCGATCGCTCATCCGAGGGGTACTACCAAATGTTGAAATAGATCAAGTGACCTCCGAAAGAGGTGGCCAAGACCTACACTGGGTTGTAGAACCAAAGATTTGATGAGATGAAGTGATAAAGTGTGAATGTGGTCACCGAACCTATCTAATGCTGGTGTTAAGAACGGATTAAATGTTGGTAGTACCTCCAAAATTTTCCTTCAGTACTCACTACATACCTCATTAATATCAAACTCTAACAGAATTCCTTGGAATATTTCAGACATGAAACAAATGGACAGAAAGATTGTTAAAAATAAAAGAAACCTACCTCATGTTTGGTCAACATTTAAAACATGTTAATCAATGCTGTGTTGGTAACGAGCAACAAAACTGAAAGAATATTTGCTGTGGACATATCATAAATATTTTTGTTCTGGGTACAAAACATGAAGCAGTTGATAAGACATGCTTCTAGTTGAAATGAGTTCACATTTGTTAGTGCCATTTTCCTTTGACTTAAAAAACATATTACATACACTCTTTTCACATGAAAATATCTTTCGTTATACTTTTAGCATAAATTTATTTGGTATCTGCACACTGCAGTAGTAATTTTGGCTCATCTAATTACAGCTTGGTTTATGCAATGGGACAACAAAGCTAGTATTCATTTTTCAAAGAACATTTTGCATGACAGTACTCACTGCATTGTTATGTATGCACATTGCTTATATCATGCATACAATGGAGAAATAACATTAATGAAGTGATCTTTGTAATGGAGACATCTCGTATGGACACCAAATAATACACAAAACAACACGACGTTTAATCATACAAGAAACCACGCAATCAAAAATACGTAGTTTTATAAGTACAATTATTATTACTCAAGTGGGAAGTTAGTGTGATTATTTGGCACTGCATTTCATCAGCCAGTTTTTCAAATTTGGTAGTGTAGGACAATGTTGCTGCTCGCAAACAATTGTCAAGATGGGCATCAGTAAGTCGAGATCTGTGCTTTGATCTTATAATGTTCGTGGTTGAACAGCCTTCATTATTCGGTATAACCTCTTTCCGTAACAACGCGGGCACCGTGCTCACTGTTCTATCCTATAGAAAATTATTTATTTTCATAATAGCCTCTGAACACAGATATGTAACAGAAAATGAAGATTTCCATGTTGCTATAAATACAGTTAACTGGTCTTGGAAGGTTTAGTGTCTTATTAACATTGCTGATCAATTATTTGTAACTGCCTCATCTTGTACCCAGAATAGTAACAATGGTGAATCTTTCTCCTACTGCAGAATCATAACACATTTGAATTGATGCACACAACCTCAGAACAAATATATACTAAAATCTATTGTCGTCTACAAACTCTTTCAGTATTTTCACTGTCATGGTGATATGCCAAAACAGTACAGAACTCAGAGCAATAGTTAGACATGGGTTCATGTCTGCAATTCACCAATTTCATTGCACCTAACTAGAATATTAAATAAACAATGCAATTTTAGTAAAAAAAATAGCTTGTCTTTAAATTCTGCAGTAGTAAGAAATATGTGTTGAAATTATTTGTTTAATAATCAAATTATAACACTGCCTTTTTTAAGCCAATCATAGAAGCTGTTATGTTTCTTCAGTTGTTCATGAAGTGTCAGCTCCATAATGTGTGAAAAGATTTATTTACATGTTAACATATATTTAACTTTGTTTATTGCATTTACAAGGAGTGTTTTCTACCCTAGGATAAGAAACAAACTCCACCTGTGGAATTAATAACACAAATACCAAATACCACCATCGCCAGACAATATTTCACGCCCATAAAATACGCTGTATCATAGGATAGGAGGATTTAATTAACCATAAATTTGTAGTCACTAAAATTTTCAGTCTGGCTTATTCTAAGTACTCACAATTTATTTTTGTGAGAGAAGATGTTTAATTACATTTCAGTTACAAGATTAAATTTGACTCCAGTAACATTTTCATTTTATGGGATGGGGCTCACACTTCATTTGTTAGCAGAATATTATAACATGGCCTAATTGAGAGTCTTAGGACTCCTGTAGTGTTTCGGTAGACAGGATACGAGACGTTTCCTGATAAAATAATTTATATTAGGTGCAGATGGAATGTCCGTTGCATTTCAGAATCTGCAGTATGAAAGTTGCGTGATTATTTTTGTTTTAATAATATTTTTTTTTGCAAACGAGGAAAGTGGAACGAGAACTCAACTGTGTTTGTTCATATGGCCTCTGTATTCAGAATGAATTAACATATTCAATAATTGACAGTTATTCTTGTGTACACAAACAATTATATTTATTAAAACATATTTATAGTATTTATATTATGTGTTCTTTATACAGTTTAATTTCTAATATTATATGCAATTTGGATCAATTATGTGTAACTAAATGGCAAAATTGTGTACAGATAAATTTTTGGATGCCAGATTTGATCAAACACAGTAGAGCTGGAATGTGAAGTAATTTGAGTGTATCAGAATGGGACAGTTGAGATTATTGTCGTGACAGTCTTGTATTATGTATGGCTGGCAGTTAGAAAGTGAGTTTGTGTGAGTATGCATCTTGAAGTTACTCACTTAAACTTTATTTTATGTATACATATAGAGTGAATGTTGATATATTTATATAATGCCATTGCACGATGCATAAACTACTTATGTACATAGACCCCCCATGGAGACTGTGGGACACGTTTCTCTACCCCCTGTTAATACAAGTAACTATTTTTGTTTTTTCAGTCTTACAGCTCTTTCCATCTTATTATCAGCTTTGGTCTCTAAAATGTTGTGACTGCACGGGAACTATTTAGGATGTTATAAATTTATCTAATTGCAACATTGGAAGAACAGTAAAATGAACAGGACAGAACATTTGACTTCTGTAGACAAAATATAGAAAAACTCAATCCTCTTCTTCTTCTATGGCTCTCCAGTCCGTATTCGGTCCATGGCCTCCTCAATTCTCCTCTTCTGTTCGGTCCTTCTGTTAGGTCCGCTGTCTGAGGCTTTGATCGAGGTTTCGAAACATCTTCCGTTTTACGGTGCAAGGTTGTTAGCCTTGTGACCAACCCCCAAACTGGAGGACCAGGGTACCTCTTAGTCTGGCCTCTCCCCCTCGACCAATCTGGCTACGGAGGCCCTACCAGTAGCTCTTGGGGTAACTGAGGTACTCGAGCCCCACCACCACGACAAGGTGCAGGTACCATTAAGTGGGAAACTCACTCCTCAGTATGACAAATATCACCATCTATGGGGAGTTTGTATAAAAACAGTTTATGGATCATAAAACACTTTGTGTTATCCGTGTAGAAACTTCAATGATAACTTCAAGATACCTGTCTTGTCAATGTATTTTCTGACTACCAATCATATATGGAGAAACAGGGTGTAAGATATATTGCTTTATAATGTAAATGATTATATATAAAATCAACACCACTTTCTATGAATACCAAGAGCTATACCCTACTATTAAGATGTCTCAAGATTCTGGTTGTATTGTTCTCTGTTAACTTACATTAGTCTCTCTTGTCTTTAATGTTTATAATAATTGTTTCAATTCGTGTACTACATTTTGTAACTGGCTGTCTTATTTGTTCATTATGCAAGCTGAATTGCTTGCAATGATATATATTGTTCTTGTATTTAAAGTAGCTCTTAAACGAGAGTTAATGGTACAAAGACATCTGGTCTGCATCAACTAAACAGATATTGATAGAATACTTGATTGATTCTTGAACTGTTGAATGATGCTTTGTCAAACAACATTCAATAATGAATTTGAATCAGAAGAATGTGGAAGGAAACAGTAATGACATATGAGGTATGATCCCTGAATTCGTTAGAAGAAACACATGAAACAGATAAACATCTGGGTTAAGATTCGAGCATGACATTTGATATACGGTGCTAAGTACACGTGAAGTGATCAAATTTCTCTAATTTTCTCTGTTACTATACATTTCCTTAGCTAAGTTATTTTCCTCTGCATTTATCAAACACATTCAACTTGAATGAGAACTTAAAATACCACAAAGATAAAAACTTTTATACCTGTTCCTTATATTCATCAACTACCTCTCTTCAACGGGAAGGGTTTCTCTTGAGAATCTGACGGTGATTTAGCTGGTCAAGAAATTTCCCGCCTTATATAAAACATGAAAGGTTATCACTGTATTCACATGAGCCCATCACTGGTTCATGCATTAAGTCACATTAATCTATTTGAACTTCTCACAAACTATTTCTTTAAGGTGTACTTTAATATTATCCTCCAATCTGAGTCTGTATCTACAAAGAGGTCTCTTCTGTTCCAGATTTTGTTATGGCAGTTATTTCCATTTTGTTCCATTTCTCATTGTTTATTTCTGCTACATGGCCTACTTATGACATCCTCCAATGGAGGCAACTTATATGATTCTGTCAGACAATCTACCTGGAGGTACTGAGGAAGAACATGAAAATCCTCCCGATGCCCAAACAACCAATTTCCCGAATATTGCTTTTTACTAATCACACTCCTTCTAGAAGAAGCTCCGATGAGTAATGGTTTTATTTCCTAGATAAAGACTTAATCAAAAAGCAAACGTAACGCCGTGATGGTGCGGCAACTTCTCCGACTCTTCGGTCGTGCATGTAATCTAAACGGTGTTAAGCAGGCGTCATCCTTTAGACTACATACTCGGTTGCAAAACCATGTCAGCCAGACGAGTTTATTTAGTATGGCGGTGAATCACAATTCTGCTCTCAGTGTGTGAACTTTCTTTTTGTATATTTAAAGCTAAACCCTGGCAACAATAAAATATCTTTACAATATTCTTCAATAGTCTTTACAACAGCTCACTTCTGAACCCTGTCTTGAGCCAAATGAATTCAGCCAACATTCACACTTATTCAAGACTCATTTTAATATTATCCACCGATAACAAAAATTACGTTACTATTCTATTTAGTTGCTGCCATGAAGGAGTGTAGTTAACGCTGACAAACACAAAGACAGCTTTGTTCCCAAAACTTCGTGTAATGAAACCACTTTGGTATTGTCAGTTTTTCTTCTTCTTCTTTTTTCCACTCTTCTTCTCCTCCCCCTTATCCTCAACATTTTTCTTCAAACACTTCCTGTCCTTCAGCTCCTCGTTTCTCTTCCTCTTTCTTCTGCTCTGTATCCCCCTTCGTCTTTTTGGCGCTGCAGTCCGATTCGATCTCTCTCACCTGTATTATAGACAGCATTCCTTTAGACGGAGGGCCAGA